TGTCACGGTAAGTTTCCAGTGACTGTGATGAAAGTAGGCAATAAATTCTACTCTTTAAAAAACAGCTGGTGAAGCTAGGAAAGTGCTGAAGCGATAGTGGAAGGTGAAATGGTCCTGGTATTTGTTGAATGGCTTTAGAGATGCAAAGAGCAGCCCTTGTCCCAGGGAAATAATGGAGTTCACCATGATATAAGCATGAGAGACCATGGCTTGTGAACACAGATTCAGGTGTATTCATGGCTTGCTCTAGTATGGAAGAGGTTATATGAGCTTTCTTAGTGATAGAGCAAAAAGAAAACTCTAAATCAATGTACTTGTCCAATACATTGGTGGGAGATCTGGTACAGTAAGGTACAGTAAGGTACAGTGAGGCACAGTAAGCACATCGGGGCAATCTCTTCTACAGGTTTCAGATGATGAGAGAGTGTGTGTGTGTGTGTGTGTGTGTGTGTGTGTGCCTGTGTGTGTATGTGATCCTATGTGTGCCATATGTGTAGTGATAGGAAGTTGATGTTAGATTTATTTCTTAATTACTCTCCAGCCAATTTTTTTCTTCTTTTTAAGACAAGGTTTCACTGTGTAGCCCAAGCTGGCCTGGAACCATGTAGGCAGACCAGGCCAGCCTCAAACTCACAGAAACCCACTTGCTTTGCCTGTAGACTGCTTGAAATAAAGGTGGTGCATCTCCATGCCTGGCCTCCTTACCACATTTTTAGGACAGAGTTTGTCACTGAACTTGATGCTTGCTGATTGGCAAGGCTGGCTAGCTAGGACACGCCCATGCTCAGCTTTTTCTGTGGGGCTAAAGATCCAAATTCAGGTCCTTCTGCTTGCGTGGCAAGCACTATACCGAAATGAGTCATCTCCTCAGGCCCAGATGTTATCTTTTAACATTCATAGCTTTAGGGTTGGTGGAAGCTGGAGATCTGCTGAGTAACACATTCCACAAGTTTTACTAGCAGTCACAAAGATGTTAGGTCAAAGACATGGTTTGAGGGTAAGTGGATATTAACACAACTAAAGATAGCCCAGGATAATTTTGTCTCTTAATGTACAAGATTCCATCTTTCCACAGTTACAACAGTCTAGTCAGTCAGTCAGTCAGTCAGTCAGTCAGTCAGTCAGTCAGTCAGTCAGTCAGCCAGTCCAGTCAGTCAGTCTGCACACTCTCTAGCACAGAGACAGCATCCTTTCAGTTCTCAGCTTGAACTTCGGGGAAGGTGAGAAGGAAAAAATCAGGGATGACACAATAAGGAAGTTGTCACAAGTGTGTGTGTGGGGGGGTTGCCCATAATTCCAGGCATACAGTTGTTTAGTAGCTTATAATTAAAGCTAATTTTTAAAGTGCCACTGTGCTGTGCACAGTCAGATGCATGAAAAAACTCACATACTTGCTTTGGGGTCGGGGTTCCTAAAGGATGAGGAGCCAGGCAAGCGTCCCATTTCTAGGCTGATTGTAATCATGTGAAAGACAGTTTCCCTCATCTGGCTGGCCCTTTCCTTGATAATCCTAGTCTGGATCTCACAGAATGTACGTGAACCTGAAGGAGGATTGCAGAGACCTGTGCCTAGGGCAGGCAGCCGCACGCAGGAGCTGGCCTCATACACATCTCCTCTCACAATTTGACCGGGAGTAGATTGTTCGCTGCTGTACACTTGCCTCCATTTTCCTTGGATCCAGTGCTGATCAGAGCCTTCACTGTTTTTTGTCCCCCCCCCCCTTTGGCAGATTTTTCCTTCTCAGGCAAAACATGTAGACATTTCAGTATCCCAAGAGTGCAAAATGTTTTATTTCTAATGTTTGGCTGAATTACTTCTGAAAACATTTTGCTTGAGAGGAGAAACGAGACTGTGAAATGAGCTTCTTGCTGCTTAGAACAAAGTTTATCTTGGGTCTGGAACCGGGGTCCTGTTGACCAATGATTGTGAGGGGTTTGGGTAGCACAGAGGGGTCTATGGGGGAATAAGTTGTGTTGTCTGAGTCCTGCTGCCATTTTGTGTCTAGCTAGCAGTGTGAGCTTGAGCACATCAGTCCACTTTTTTACCCCTCAGAATCTGTCACAGACTGTGCTCTTTGAGAGAGACCCCCCCAACCCTCTGAGTTTTTAATGTACAGAGGTTAGTTGACAATTAACTCTTTTCCTCCATTCCTATGAGGAAAAGGAGTGCAAGGATGAACAAAGATTTGATTTTGAGCTCTAATGTGGTTGGCACTTAGGGCTGTCAGTTTTGAGGTGAGCAGGATGGCTTTTGTATCTATTACCCTCACAAAACCTTGCAGCCATCATTGTACATGTACAAGATCAGGCCAATAAGATGGCTCAAGGCACATGGCTACCACTCAAGGTCTGGTGGCCTGAGTTTAATCCCTGGGGCCTGTGTAAAGGTGGAAACAGACAACAGGCTGCACAGACTTGTTCTCTGACCTCTGAACATGCCCCATGGCATAAGTACCCACTTACTGACATAATGGACATAACTAATAATAATAATAATAATAATAATAATAATAATAATAATAAAAATATATTTTCAAAAAGAGTTCAAGGCCATCTTTATCTACAGAGTGAATTCAAGACCAGCTTGGGCTATATGAGATCCCATTTCAAAAACAAGCAAAATAACAACCAAAAACCCTTCAAAATTATAATTTCTAGGTGAAGATGAACCCTGTTTGTAAAGATTTAGAATATTAACTGCAAATTCTTGCTTTTATTTTTCATAGTTTTATTAACCTATTATGTATAATAATGAGTTTTTTTACACACGTCACACATGTACACAATATATTTGATCATTTCAGTACTGTTTCCATTTCTTGATCTCTTCCAAGTCTCACTTAATTTTTTCAACTCAAGTAATCAAACCAATCGAAGTAACAGTTTAGCTATAATTGTCTTCTTATCAGGAAGGTAATGGATATTATGTTCAGCTTTAATCTTTTATTTGCAAAACAGTCTATAGTATTGCTCACTGTGTGTCTGTGTTGATAACTGAGACTCTTTGTGCTAATATTCATGTTGTCATCATTCACTAATTTCATTTTCTTTACATTTATCCTTAATATGAGGAATTATTTAGCAGATACAATTTTAGGTAAAGCTGAAGAAAACTCTGTTTTAAAGAAGTAAACATAGATACCTTTTAAGCTATCATAGGGTTGTATCCAGACAAACCCACTGTGACCATTATAACACAGGCACACATTTAGGGCCTGCAAAGTGGCACAGCAGATTGAGGCTCTTGTATGAAAACTTTATGACATGAATACAATTCCTCAAGCCCACAGGTGGCAGGAGAGAACTGGCTCTTGTGTCAACTAACTTCCTAGAGCTGTCACCTACAACCACGCTGTGGCATGGACACATGGTACCTACACACTAATAAATCAACAAAATTAAAAGTAAGAGATGCATTTAAGCCGGGTATGGTGGTATATGCCTTTAATACCAGCACCTGAAAGGCAGAAGCAGACTGATCCCTCTGAGTTCTTGGTCTACGTAGTAAGTTCCAGGACATCCAGGACTGTTACACAGAGAGACCATGCCTCCAAAAGCAACAAAAAAATCCACTTATCGTACTGATATTGTAAGCTGTGAGGTACAGCATAGTAACACGTTATTCTACAGAGTCAACTGTTACCCATAATCAAATGGCTTCTGGAGCCTTTACATCATGAGAAAATATTTGGAAAAGATCAAAATTCAAAGCAAGGCTTCACTGAAATTATATCACTTTCATAAAGCTGAAAAAAAAATTCTAAACCAAACCACAAATTGGTGACAATTTGTAAAGCTGTCTTGCCCTTGGAAATGTTTAAATACTTTCAGACATGTAACTTGCATGTAAAGCCACAGCTACTTGTGTCTTGTGTTCTAGATAGTTTTTTTGTTATCTTGACACAAGCTAGGCTCATTTTGGAACAGGGAACCCCAATTGAGGAAATGTCCCCACCATACTGCCTGGAGCGCAGTTTCTTGATTGATGGTTGATGTGGGAAAGCCCAACTCACTGTGGTCTTTGTAGTGTCATCCCTTGGCTGGTGGTCATGAGTCCTAAAAGAATGTAGGCCAAGCAAGCCAGGAAGATCAAGCCAGTAAGCAGCACTCCTCCATGGCCTTTTCATCAGCTTCTGTCTCCAGGTTCCTTCTCTGTGTGAGTTCCTGTCCTGACTTCCCTCAGTGATGGGCTGTGCTGTGGAACTACAAACTGAAATCAATCCTTTCCTCCCCAAGCTGCTTTTGGTTAAGGTGTTTTAATACAGCAATGGAAACCCTAATTAAGAAACTTGGATTTTCATGTTTCCTATTTACTCACTGACACCTTCAGGAACTATTCTGAATTATGATTTTGTTGACTGAAAACTTGCCTAATTCTAAAAGCCTTCCAAAAGCTCTTAAATTTTGCTTAAAAAATTATGTTCATTTGAGAAATTTGTATAGTGTGTTCTGGAGCCAAAATTAACCTGTGACTACTTTCGAGCATAGACTCTATTTTTCTCAATGGCGCATGTTTCCTGAGCTCCAAAGTTAATTATATGCTAAGAAAAGGAACAAGCACTGGCTTCAGACTCAGAATTACCTATAGTGGAAGTGAGCCTTTACAAACAGGTTTGGTCTAGTTTCCTGGCAATGTAGGTAAAGGCTCATACTGTGGTAGGATGGGCTCGTTTCTAAGGCAACCTTAATGCTAACACTTCCTATTCTCATGAACAGGATGGGCAGAGATGGGGTTGCCATCTTTAGAGGAATTGTTTTCAATACTATTTTATGTACTCTATAACTATAAAGCATTGGTTGCTTTATACCTATTAATTCACTATAGAATTGATTTAATTTAATTCACTATAGAATTGTTCACACATATTGTGAGTTAAGCATATAAAACTAGAAAGGATTGTCTGATTTGAGCTGGATGAAAGGTCAGGGTTCCCACTCACTCTTACTTTGTGATTTCTAGTTTGCCACACTCATATTTCTTCCCACTTTGTTTTCCTTAAGATAATGAGAAACCCATGCGTGTGGTGGATGATGAGGACTTGGTAGACCAACATCTCATTGGCGAGCTGAGGAAAGAGTATGGAATGACCTATAATGACTTCTTCATGGTGCTAACAGATGTGGATTTAAGAGTCAAGGTACAGATTTTTGCTGTGGGTGATGCAGCCCAATTCCTTGAAATAGAACCTATGGTTTCTTATGGTCAATGAGTCCACTAGAGATATGATTAAGAGCAAACTATGCCATATAATGATAAGGTTTTAAAGTGGCTCCAGTATTTCAGTTGTCTTATGAATTTGCATTCAGAAATAATCTCTCCAGTGAAAGACTGAATAATTGAACTTAGCCCAGCCATGTGACTCAGACTGAATCTTTCCATCACACTAATGCCGTGAATATATCAGACACTAGTTAAATAGCTGTGAGAATAAAAGAGCCCTGGTAATAAAAGAGGAAAGGAGTCCCTTTCTTCAAGACACCTACACTTACCATAGGTCCCTTTAGGGCAGTGGTTCTCAAACTGTGGGACATAATCCCTTTGGGGGTCAAATGCCCCTTTCACGAAGGTTGCATATCAAATATTCTGCATATCAGGTATTATATTATGATTCATAGCAGTAGCAAAGTACAGTTATGAAGTAGCAACAAAAATAAGTTTATGGTTAGGGGCCAGCACAGGAACTGTATTAAGAAGCGATGGCATTGGGCCCTTTGGAAGGTCCCTTTGGGAGGCAAATTGAGGACCACTACTTTAGGGAAAATCTACACGTTTACCTGCTGATTTAAGATTTTTTTTTTTTTAAAAAAAAGGACTTCAAGAATTTTCTACCTACTTTCTTTCTGTAGTGACAAAGTTTCTGAACCATCAAAAACTGAGTTATATAGTCCCCATAGTAATAAAATAGCTAACTCTACTGGGGGCTTTGCTTGCACCAAGCACCCTGCTCAAGCAAATATCTAAAACAAAATCAATATCTTTCTTATTTCACAGAAAAAAAAAATGCTCCAGAAGGTAAGTAGCTAGTCCAAGTTGATCCAGCTAGTGTTAGATTTCACCCCCACAGAGGCTAGCTACACATCCTGGGGTCTTTAGCCATCTAGGTTTCTGACAGTGTAACAAGTTTTCATGAAGATCCTTGAGGACCATCAGAACAGCTGACTTGACCTGTAGCATTTTTGTGGTTCTGGGGAGATAGCACCCTATTAATGTGTTCTATAGGTGTGTTGCCTCACAGAAGTTGAACTAGTTGATCTCTAAAGTGAAAAGCTCCACTAGGGCAAAGTTCCAGGCCACACTGAAGGGGCCGCTCCTATTGATTCTGCTCAGCAGGGTCCATATCCACACCAGGTGACTTTTTAAAGTCTAGGTGGCTGGGATCCAAGGAAATGAATTTCATTGTCTTTAAGTTGAATCCTCACCTGTTTCTGAGAACCTGTGAGCAAGCATGACCTAATGTTAAATGACTCAGGATTTGGCGGGAAAAGTTAACAACTCTAGCGTGCCATCTCATTTGCTTCTCTCTGTTAGTATACTGTTCCTCGCATCTCTAGTTGTGTCATAAATAGCAACTAGCTTAGTGTCAGAAGTATAGGAGTAAACATAGGGTTTGTATGGTAAGGAAACTATAAATTGTTTTTAGTAAGAGAAGAACAGAATAATTCTTTATAAATATACCAATTGCTTCCTGGGGTCTCAATTAAAGCAACTTGCAGATAGTAGCATTTCAAAACAGCATTTAGAAAGCATCAAACCCTCAAACATGGTTGAACAAATGTCCTTATTGAATGGTGGAACATCTTTCAGGTATATGCCCAGGAGTGGTATAGCTGGATCTTGAGGTAGCACTATTCCCAGTTTTCTTTTTCTTTTTAATTTTAATTTTTATGTTAATTACAAGTTACTTACTTTGTATCCCAGCTGTAGCCCCCTCTCTCATTCCCTTCCAAACCCACCCTGCCTTCCTCATCTCCTCCCTGCCCCTCGCTAAGCCCACTGATAGGGGAGGTCCTCCTCCCCTTTCCATCTGACCCTAGTTTATTAGGTCTCATCAGGACTGGCTGCAATGTCCTCCTCTGTGGCCTAGCAAGGCTGCTCCTCCCTCGGGACAGAGGGAGGTCAAAGAGCCAGCCACTGAGTTCATATTAGAGACAGTCCCTGTTCCCCTTGAAAACTTGGCCAGAGAACAGGGAATCATATGAAAGAAGGGGGAGTTAGTAAGACCTGGAGAGGACGGGAGTGCCACAAGAACCAAATATAAGTAGGCACAGGGGTCTTTTCTGAGACTGATTCTCCAACCAAGGACCATGCATGGAGATAACCTAGAATCCCTGCTTAGACGTAACCTGTGGCAGCTCACCATCCAAGTGGGTTTCCCTAGTAAGGGGACCAGTTTTTTGAGAAAGTGCCAGATTGATCTCCAAAGTGGTTGTACAAGTTTACCTCCCAAAAGCAATGAAGGAGGGTTCCCCTTTCTCCACATCCTCTCCAGCATGTGTTGTCACTTGCGTTTTTGATCTTAGAAATTCTGAGGGGTGTAAGGTGAAATCTCAGGGTCGTTTTGATTTGCATTTCCCTGATGACTAATGATGTTGAGCATTTTTAAGTGTTTTTCTGCCATTCAATATTCCTCTGTTGAGAATTCTCTATTTAGCTCTATACCCCATTTTTTAATTAGATTACTTAAGGACTATTCATGGAGAAACTAGAACTCCTGCACAGATGTAGCCCATGGCAGCTCAGTCTCCAAGTGGGTGTCTTAATAAGGGGAACAGGGACTGTCTCTGACATGAACTCAGTAGCTGGCTCTTTGATCACCCTCCCTGAGGTAGGGGGCAGTCTTCCTGGAAGATAATGCACTCAGTCTTGATGAGACCTGATAGGATAGGGTCAGATGGGAGGGGGAGGTCCTCTATTGGTGGACTGGGGGAGGGACGTGGGAGGAGAAGAGGGAGGGAGGGCTGGATTGGGAGGAGCTACAGCGGGGATACAAAGCAAATAAATCGTAATAAACAAACAAATAAATAAATAAACAAAAAGGTAAAAATTCTTAAAACAAAACAACAAACCCTCTACACTCCAAATCACAAGATTTTTCCCAGACCTCTCTGGAAGGTATGAATTATATGCATCCTATGCTTTCTTAAACAGCAATACTACGAAGTGCCAATAGCAATGAAATCGGTGTTTGATCTGATTGATACTTTCCAATCCCGAATCAAAGACATGGAGAAGCAGAAGAAGGAGGGCATTGCGTGCAAGGAGGACAAGAAGCAGTCCCTGGAGAATTTCCTATCCAGGTACATCATCTTTGCATTCCCAGAAGAAGCCAGTGCAGTTTGGCCTGGAGATTTTTTTTTTTTCTTTTTTCTTTTTTCTCCCTTCTTTTGTTTTTCTTTTTAAACTTATGGGTGAATTGATGATTCAGGATCAAAGAAACACAGAAGTTCAGATGTATTTATGAGAGACTGCTTGTCTGTTTCTGCGCATCCTGGCTCCGGGGCTTAGTCTTGTGTGTCTGATTCTGTTTGCAAGGCTGCCTAGGTCCAACTCCGACTACAAAGATTGATTTAGTGATATTGGATGGGTCCCTTCTGTTCCTTTTTTCTTTTTTTTTTCTTTTTTTTGGTACAGAGCATAAAATTCAGAACTTCCATGAGGATTGCTTCACTCAGTGAATCTGAGAAGCTGTGAATATGTAAAATGTTTTGTTTTACATGTGTCTACTTCCACTTCAAAAGGACTGACAGTGTTGATTTTCCATTTCCTTACAACAAAACAATGAGAGCCCCATTACCTCCCTGCAAGTGGGAGTCCCCCTGACCTAGCTCCAGGATTCTCTGGGAAGCAGTGTTTACCCAAAGCCCTTTGACAGCAGGGTTTCCTGCCCCCGCCCCCAGAAGAAGTCAGTAAGAAAAACAAAATAACAATTTCTTCTTTGCTTCCTGCCTTTCCCAGATGATAATAATAAGTGCCATTCTTCTTAAGATCATTGGGTGAAAGGGCAATTTAATAACGAAGGTAAGGATGGCCCAGGACCTAGTAAAGAGAGCCGTCAACAAAGGCTAATCCAGTGCTCCAGTGTGTTGCACAAGTCCTATACCTGGCTTTGTCAGTGAGAGAAGCTCAGTAGACAGTTGAGAATTGAAATTGAAACCCAGGCTAAGAGAAAAAGAAAAAAAAAAAAAAAAAAAAAAAAAAAAAAAACCCTGAAACTGGAAAAAAAAAATTCCATGACTAAGCCAGTCCCTAAATGGGAATTTTCCTTAAATTTGCTGACTTGTTCGTGAGACTGCACAGCCTGGTTTCAACTGACCAGACCCTGAAGCCAGTCTGGTCTTTAGCGCTGTATTTTAGGCTATAATTACCCTTCCTGAGACAGAAGCCCCAAAGAGTGGGCAAATGCACACTAATTTGGGATGCCAGTTAAAAGAAGCAAACACACGCAGAGCTTGTAAGGTTTCATTTACTGAGAAGCTAAAGTGACAGAGAATAATTTGCCTCAAGTGGGGACCTAAGCAGGGCCACAATTCTTGTCACGGGCCTTGAAAATTATTTCCTTTTAGGGCCTTTGAGCTGGGGCTGTGGGTCCCCGTGTGGGAAGTCCAATCATTCCTTATGGGAAGCAACCTTCTCTGGGTTGTGTCTGAGATAGGGCGTGTCATCCCTCTCCTATCAAAACCTCATTCAGTGGCCATACAGGTAAACAAGTTAAAACAGATCTCACCAAAATAACTCAATGGCTCCATGTAGGCCAGGCCGGCCTGGTTACATCGTGGCTGGGGACCAGCTCTGGTCTGGCATTCCTCCTAAGGAAGCTGGGAGATCCAAAGACCATGTCTGTGACCCAGCAGCCGCTGGGGTTCCCTTTCCCAGGAACCTCTGGACTGTCTCATATGCTCCTTCCCCCTCTGTCTGTGCCAAAACAGTCATCTTTTTATCCCCAGTGGAGACTTGTTTTCCTTTCCCTTTGAAGAAAAACAAGCAGAGAACCCGAGTGTAATGTCACAGCAAGCAATTCTTGGCGAGTCTTAGGAGACAGGCATCCATTCAGAGCTTGTATTTCATTAGACTATTATTTTCCCTCATTCACCAAAAACCGCTGTTCCCTCCAAGAGGCCATTTTCTTTGGAAGTTGCGAACTCTCGTGTCCACTCTGAAGCTAGATGGGGCACAGGGAGAGAAACCATGAGCAAAATGGCTGGCTGTCAGCTCAGTGATTGCTAACCCCTGCTGGTTGCCTTGTCTCAGGCCGAAATCGACACTCCTTCTCCAGTTTGAGACAACTCCATTCAGCTTTCCCTCTGAGGTATACTGTACTATTTATTTCATATCACACTGGGGATCCTGAGAGCACGAATTAAGCATCCGCATCCTTAAGACTATATTTTGGTACCACTACCACCTTAGGTTTCTTAGTTGTACAAATTACTTATTTCTTTGTGTCTCGTCTTCATAAAATCAGAAAAATAAAGCTTGCTTTCTTGAGCATTAGTGAGGAACACTTCCTGTGTAGTAAAAGTGAGCTTTAAAATTACATACTGACACAATCAAATAGGTTGTTATGTCGTATTGTGATGGATGTGATAGATGTCCAAGGTATGTTAATGATAGAGGTTTTTAAACCGGGAGCTGCAAATGAAGACATGATTTTCTAATTCCATGTCATCATGTGGATAACATACTGATGGGTTTTGGAGTTTAATTTTGTATCACCCCTTTCCAGAAATAAGGAAAAAGTGACACTTAATTGAAATGAGTAACATGGACAAAGACATCTGATGACAAATTGAATTAAAGTGTCCAAGTCTAAGCTAAAAGCTCTATTAGTGCACCATGACAGGCAACTAACAGTAGAAACTGGGTTTACCAAAATCCCGTGCTTCACAGAGGCAGTTTGCATTGACTTCTATTAATGATAATAAGATAAAGATAAGAACTTGCATTGCCTCTAGGATAACAATCATGTACTAAGGAAAGTAATGAGGTTTTATTTCTCTTTAACTCTTTTAGTGATCCCCCCTCCCATTTTCCTTCTTGCTACCATGGTCATGTACTTAAAATTTAGTAGTCCTTTTCTACTTTATCTTCTCATTTGCCACCCCCCGCTGAACTCCTAGGGGAACTCTACTGGGACATTAATTCTCTCCAGCATTCTTCTGTAATCTTGGCTTTGCTTCTTCCCTTACAAATTTGACTAGTCTTCATTGTAACTGAGAGCTTCACCTTACCCTAAGTGTCCTCACCATGACACAACACATCAGGCAGGCAGAAAGTCACAACAGAAAAACTAAGAGCATGTGGTGATGCAGCTTCCCTGCTTTCAGGAACTGTGGGAGAGTCCTATGGGCCAGGGGTTTTAATTCTGGGAATGGAAAAACCCAATAGCCACAGCTGCTCTGTTTTCTTTCACTGGCCTCTGTTGTATGAAACAGTCATAGCGGTCCTCTGCATCTTTTCCAGGTTCCGATGGAGGAGGAGGTTGCTAGTGATCTCTGCCCCTAATGATGAAGACTGGGCCTATTCACAACAGCTCTCTGCCCTTAGCGGTCAGGCATGCAACTTTGGTGAGTAGGAGACACCTCATTTCTGTTTTCCCATACTACTTTCTTTCTGGATGATTCTCAAGTGGATCATAAAACCTTAGCTCAACTAAATATACCCCAATCCAGATGTTGATTCATAGACACATACTCTATTATATTGAATATTAAGTTGCTTTCAAAGGACTGTTTTAGTGAATTATAGATAACCCTTATTCCTTCCACATTTTATACTGAAGTGTTTGAAAGTGTGTACTGCTTTACTTTGAATAGTTTTTTTTAATGATTTTTAAATTATTTTACTTTTAATTATTTTTTATTTCTTTTTAAACATGTCTGAAGATGATAAAATACAGGCACTATCACTTATCTGATACTTAGTACTGGCTACTAACATTGGATACTTCTCTGTAAATTCTTGTTCTGGGAATCATTGAAACAGATCCTTATTTTCTTAGAGGCAGAATGTCACTATGTAACTCCAAATCCTCTTATCTTATCTTCCTGTGTGCTGGAGCTACGGGGTATGTGTCACTGTGTCTGGTTTTGAACCTTTTTGAGCCAAGCCAGAAAGAAAAAAAAAAGTTTCCTTTCTCTTTGTTGTAAATCCCTTAACATCTGAAAAATAACATGACAAATTTTCTGTTAGGCTAATGGGAAACACCAGTATCATTTTTAAAAAAGATTTCTTTGTTTTATGTATGTGAGTGTTCTATCTGCATTTATACCTGCCAGAAGTGGGAATCAGTTCACATTATGGATGGTTGTGAGACATCTATTGAACATGACCATTGGAAGAGCAGACAGTGCTCATAACTGCTGAGCCATCTCTCCACCCCACCGGTATCATGTTAAATCAGGCCACAGAAATGTATGAACAGCCCACAGAACTTACCGCTAGGTTCAGTGTGAAATGTGATGATGGCAAGGTCAACAGTGGCAGTGTTGTAGCTGACACCCATGAGCTGTGCAATTGCAGAGGAAGCACTTTGAGTCATTAGAGGTATGGAGTGCTGGTTTCCCAGTCACTGATTTAAACATTCACTATTACAACATTATAAATCAAGATTATTTTGATTCTTCCAGTAGGGAGAATCATGTCTGTTATCATGGCACTTCTATAAAACTGTACTTGTTTTGTTTGTTTGTTGTGTGTGGGGGGGATTCGAGACAGGGTTTCTCTGTGTAGCCTTAGCTGTCCTGGACTTGCTTTGTAGTCCAGGCTGGCCTCGAATGCACAGCAGTCTACCTGCCTCTGCCTCCCTAAGTGCTGGGATTATAGGTGTACCCGGCTTGTACTTGGATTTTGAAGGAAGGTGTTCATCATAAGTCTTGTGAAGCATTATCAGGACCAAGGTCTGTGGTATGTCCCAGTACCTCTAAATTATAAATAGTTTTCAATTGTAAGATGTGAAATAACTCAAAGGAAGGCAGAAAGCAAGCCCAAAATGGTAAGATATAATTCAAGAATTTCACATTTATCCTCCGTTTTTCAAGGCTAATAATTTATGACTATCAACAGAATATTTGATTGTACCAATATTCTGAATTATATTTAGAACTCTTCAGAGTCATCAATGGTGCTAATTATAAATATAACATTACTAAAGCAGCCATAAATTCATCACAGTAAAAATGTAAATCAGAAGAAATCTCACTTTCGTGGCATATAGCTCTAATCTCAGCCCCAGGAGGCTCAAACCAGGGGGTTGTGAGTTCTAGGTCAGCCTGGGCTGTGGATTATGACCCATGCCAAAAAACAAATACAATCATGGTTTACTAGCTTTCTATAGATGCCTTTTCAAGCGGTAGAAAGTGGTGCTTAGTTTTTATACTCTAGCATAGAAAGCCTGTGCCACATGAGTATAAGTGAAGCCTTTTGTTACATGCAGGAAGTGTGAACAAATCATGCTTTCCAGGGAGTCATTAAACACATGAGCTTCAGTCTCTGAAAAAATGACTCACTGGTGTTTGGAATAGGATGCTTCACCTTTCCGGGAAGAGATAATGGTGGAAAACAAAACAAACTGTGGGGAACAGCATCCTGCCTTGATTTTAGCTTTCCCTTAATGGAGCCCTCCTATATAGAAGCTTTTAATTTTCTCTCTTGGGCAACGAACTCCACTGATCTTATCATTGGCTCCAAGCTATTACCCCAGCCAGACTCTTCATCTTGCTTCTTTCTCTCAGGCTCCCTTCATAAGCTTTTCATCTTCAAAAGCATTCCAACAAGCTATCAAGGCATGACCTTCCCTCCTTTGCTGAAACCTTAGCTGAAGATGGAAAGCAAGCTGTGCTTGCTTGGGGTTCCCCTGTGTATCCATCCTCTTATGACTAAGAACCTGATAATCAAATGAAGCATCTGTCTTGTGACTGGCTCTTTAACCATCACTTTGATGGCTTGTGTGGCTTTTCTCTCTGAGGGGAAGTTAACCATAAAAGGTATAGAAATTTTAGGCCTTTTTTTATTTTTATTTTTTGCCCTAGAAACCATCATTGTGCTTAGCTCATGTTAGGTGTTTTACTCTCAGTAGTTTCATATTTTGGTGTTTTATAGCAAGGTCCACTTTAAGAGCAAATTCTTGTACTCCATCCGCCTCACACAAAACCACCTGATTCTTGTTAATCCTAAAATCAGTAACTGGTCTTTTCAGTTTTAAAAGTGTTTCCTGTCTTTTGAAAATCAAAGAGAGATTATTGTGCTTGGCTTATTGTGTTCTATATTTTTCTTTTCAAATTTTAAGTGGCTTTGAAGATCATCAGTTGTCAGGCCTTTAGAAGTAAAAGCTATTTTCAGATCTTTTCCTCTAATTTTGCGGATTTCTTCTTTTGTGTCAGGTCTGCGTCATATTACCATTCTGAAGCTTCTGGGTGTCGGAGAGGAAGTTGGAGGAGTTTTAGAACTGTTCCCTATAAATGGTAATGTCTTATTATGTTAAAAACATTACGTTAAGCTATGTGCAAGCCCAAAGGAACCGTGTGTGTGTGTGCACAAGCATGCTTGCGTGCCCATGATGTGGATGGGGCGGGGGCTGGACTAAAAACTAAGCTTGGTTTTGATATAAAATTATTCAAACAGGAAACATGTCCATTTTCATAATCAAAATAATGCTTTTGGTCTATATGTGCTACCACTTAATCTCGTGATTGTTTTATGAGGTTCTATCACCTTGATTTTTCTTCAAGAGATAAGGAAATGCAATAAAGCGTTCACAGAAGCTAAAAGAAAATGATCACAGACTGAAGGTTTCGGAAAGCATGCCTCCTCCTTCCTCCTATGGACCCCCCTTTTGATATAAATAGCAGAGTGTGAAATACCTAGAGGATCGCCAGAGTAGACACCCAGAAAGCCTCAGTTCCCTGTCACCTCTTTTTTTCTTTTCACATATACTACTAGTTTAGATCCAATCATTGGTTTTCAATATCATAGTTATTTTTCACTGTGGGTGATAAAACAAGCTTTCCATCTTCCCTTGAAAGGAAAACTGGATGCAATGAAGCCAGCTAATTGGAAACCATGCCTAGATATAGTAACATTGTTGTTTGTCAGTAAAGATGTTGATGCTGTAGGATTAAATTAGGGCATGGGTTTTGTATTTTGTAACACTCTCAAAAGAGATGCCAGTTGTCCCATAGTTTGACACTAACAACCTTGCCCAATGTGGCATTTAATGTCTAGTTGGGCACTCCCAGCAGGCAACTGGATTTTGAGCTAAAGAGAACAGGTTCGTGGGTGTTCTGCTCTCAAAGTGATTTCCTCTTGCTTTGTTCTATTAATTCTGACTCTTTAATCCACTAATAACCATTCCAATGCTGTTTCAGGGAGCTCCACAGTTGAGAGGGAAGATGTACCAGCCCACTTGGTCAAAGACATTCGCAACTATTTTCAAGTGAGCCCAGAGTACTTCTCCATGCTTCTAGTTGGAAAAGATGGAAATGTTAAATCTTGGTATCCTTCTCCTATGTGGTCGATGGTCATCGTGTATGACTTAATTGATTCCATGCAACTTCGGAGACAGGAAATGGCCATTCAGCAGTCACTGGGGATGCGCTGCCCAGAAGATGAGTATGCAGGATATGGCTACCATAGTTACCACCAAGGATACCAGGATGGCTACCAGGATGACTATCGTCATCATGAAAGTTACCATCATGGCTACCCTTACTGAACAGAAATATGTAACCCTATTCCCTTCCAGTTTCCCCTTCATCTGCTAACGCTGTGTGTGGCTAGCTGCATAAGGAAATTCCTCCATACTCTACACTCCCTGCCTTTCTCTTCCAGTGTTCTTCCAAGATTAAAGAAATAGTAAGATTTCCCTTATTCATGAGTTGTTATTAAGACATTTAAAAGAACTCTCTAACTTGAGAGAGAAAAATCTGGTGCTAAATAATTTGTACTAAAAAAAGGCAGTATCTCTCTTTTTTATAAAATAACTATTATTTGATATGAAAATGTCTATAAAGTGTTTACACATATTTTCCTCATTTTAATATGACTTTGTAACTGAAAACTATGTTAAAGAAAATTAAAAAATCATAGTACAAATGTTTTCATAAAATGTCTGGATAGACACAGAAGACAACAAATGGCTTATTTTTTTTTCTTTTGAGACAGGGACTGTCTGTATAGTTCTGACTGATCTAGAACTCATATGTAGATTAGGTTGGTCTTAATCTCACAAGATCCACCCACTTCTTCCTCCCGAATGCTGGGATTAAAGGAACGAGTAACCATGTCTGGCTACAGATGGCTTTTTAACACATGAAATCTCAGCCTAAAAATATTTACAACAGTTTTATGCCACATGAGGCTCTTTTATTAAACCTGGTGACCCCTGAATAGTGATATTGGTCATCAACAATAAACCAATGTTGTTATAAACAGGCAATTTCTGAATTCCTGTCATACTCTGTGACATTTATGATCTTTTCAGCTTTGGGGGTAAAATGCTAAATCCAGAGGTTTTGTATTAATGTTGATTTTCTGGACATGGCTGTTGCCTTTCTTGGCTCTGGTGTCCTTAGCCTAGGAGACAAAGGTGCCTGATGGTCAGCAGAGTCACCTCTTGAATTTGCCGAAAGGAGTGAGTACCATGAAAGCAGATGTATTAAGGAAAAGTGAGAAAGATTCCTGAGAATGGGAAAGGTTCCAGGAGATAGAAACTTGCTTTGACTTTAGGAATCCTGTTATGGCAAAACTGAAAACTGACTTTGAGAAATAAATTTTATTATTAATAAACAGGTTGACCTGTGTGTAGGGGCTTTTAAAGGGGTTTTGGAAGAAACTAGACAAAGCTTGAGCATATTGTGACTGAGTCAATAGGAGCTCATATACTCTGTTCATGGTCCCCCTGTCTCAACCTGGGACATGATCGTGCACTGTTTCCCAATCAGGTGAGTGTCATGAGCTTCAGCCTGTTCATTTTCTTTTGACTTTTGCTTGGCTTGACATCCATACACCTTGCCTAGGTGTGCCAGTTTCTAAGCAAACTATGATCATTTTGTTCCTAGGTTTTGTATCCACCTTGTAATTTCCTATGGACCCTTTCACTGCTTATGAGAGCTAACCCCTACCACAGCTACAAAACGTGCCATAGTTTTTCTCGGTACTTCATATACAGCTCTTTTGGCTTGCTTCTTGCTATGGGGTGTCCGCGGAAAGATGAAAGAGAACATGGGTGGATCCAGTTCTAGAAACATGCCTAAATTTGAGAAGACCAAGTTGGGAATTACTGAAAGACTTGGCCCATGCAAGAAATGACTTGACATAAGCCTGAAGGTGAGACTCTACTTCATATAAATGATTCAAATAATGTACACTATTTTCTTTACATTCTGCTAGAATACAGAACACAAAACAGGAAACTTCTCCTTACATATAAACTCAGACAAGTAGAGAACAGTTACAAAGATAGCCAACTGTCACAGTAGGTATAGCGATGGAAATAAAGGGAAGGAAGTAGCAAGGGAGGAAAAAAGAGTAATTGCAGCTTGGTAGTCATCTTGATGTTTACACTGTTTTTCCTTCAATTTCCCCGTGACCTTAGTAGGTGTCTTCCATTGGCTCCACCATCACCACGGTCAGTGGTCAATGGAGATCCTCATAGTATAGGCACAACTTCTCTGGAAATGTCATCTTTCTCAGCTTTAAGAAGTTATTTGGGTAAATGCACCACAATTTCTGTACCCATTCCTCAGTTGTGGGACATCTAAGTTGTTTCCTGATCCTGGCTATTATGAATAAAACTGCTATGAAAACAGTTGAGCAAATGTCCTTGTTGAATGATTGAGCATCTTTCCGATACATGCCCAGGAGTGTTATAGCTGGGTCTTGAGGTAGAACTATTCCTAATTTTCTGAGAAAGTGCCAGATTGATTTCCAATGTGGTTTTCCAAGTTTACATTCCCACCAGCAATGGAGGAGGGTTCCCCTTTCTCCACATCCTCTCCAGCATGTGTTGTCACTTGAGTTTTTGATCTTAGCCATTCTAAGATGGATGTAAGGTGAAATCTCAGGGTCGTTTTGATTTGCATTTCCCTGATGACTAAGGGCATTGAGCATTTCCTTAAGTGTTTCTCTGCCATTCGATATTCCTCTGTTGAGAATTCTCTATTTAGCTCTGTACCCCATTCATGGAGATAACCCCCTGCTCAGATGTAGCCCATGGCATCTCAGTGTCCAAGTGGGTTCACTAGTAAGGGGAGCAGAGGCTGTCTCTGACATGAACTCATTTGCCTGCTCTTTGATCACCTCCCCCTTGCCATGGGGGGCAGCTTTACCATGCCACAGAGAAAGAGGATGCAACCAGTCCTGATGAGACCTGATAAGTTAGGGTTAGGTAGTAGGGGAAGAGGACCTCCTCTATCAGTGGTCGAGGAGAGGGGCATAGGAAGAGAAGAGAGAGGGAGGGTAGGATTGGGAGGAGATGGGGGAGGGGGCTACAGCTGGGATACAAAGTGAATAAATTGTAATAAATAATAAATCAATAAAAAAATTAAAAAAGAAGTTATTTGAGTATCCGTAAAAGGTGGTGGCACTAGTACTAATTCATTTATAAAGGTTGCCTTCTTTTCTCCTGAACTAAACACAAATGGAATAGTGAGTTCATTAAAGAATATTTCATCAATGTTGAACCTAGGGAATAATTTTAACACTACATTTTGAGAAATAAGTGCCTGTTTACCATCTTCAACTTGGGGAAATCAGGCAGCTGGAAAGATAATTAACATACTTGTAGTCTATTGCCCATGATATAAAGCTTATTTGTAGCTGAGGCCAAAGACAAGAGACAAAGCTATATGCCTACATTTCCTCTTCCAGCTTTAAGAGTAAGGAGGAGTGCAGAGGATATGCAGGGTATGGTTTAAAGTTAAAGCAACAAAGCCTATACTTCTGGGAGTACCAGAATAGTTTTTGACTCTGGGCCAGGACAAAGACAGCAGAATTTACAATGTGCTGTTTACAGTCTGAAACTATTGAGGTCAGGTGGTTTCCAACTGGTATAACATTAAGCCTAGTTGGTTAGGTGGACAAGAAAATATTTCAAATTCTACTTAGGGGTTGTCAACATGGCATGGCAGGGCAGGTGATTATTGGGGCTAAGCGTGATGACCTGGTTTGATTCTCAGAACCTATGTGGTAGAAGGAGAGAACCGACTCCTACAAGTTGTTCTCTGACCTATCTACTCTCAGTAATTATAATAAAAACTTTTTAAATGAAAAAATATACTTAAATGTTTTACTTTGAACTTCTCCAAAATCCAGATATACAAGCTCTTTATTGTTTTAGCTGAAGATAGTGAAAGGAGTGAAGTTTGCATTACATAAAGACTCTGAAAAGCTTCTGCACATTTCCTTGCCGCAGCAATAAGCATGGATATGCAGGTATCTCTGAGTAGGGTAAGAGTCCTTCAGGAATGGCTTGAAAGGAATCTATGCTAGTTCTTGGATCCTAAGATAGTTTTATTTTAAAAGTCTGAAAAGCTTCCATATTTATTTGTTTTCATAGGTTTGTATTGGAGTGTGTAGGAGGCATGGAGGTCTTTGTGCTCATAGACACGCACTAGGGGAACCTGGAATGTCAAACACACAGGGTTGTTCCTTTGAGGGAAAGAATGTATAACCTGTTATTCACCCAGAAGGCTGGGAGTGAACATATTCAATAGCTTGTGTTCTTTGCACTGTGTGGTTAGAGACGCTTCCAGCACGGGATTCCCCAGACCCTTATGGTAAGCTTGTTTTTCTCAGTTAGTCTATAGAACCTTGTGGACTTTGCATACAGTTATGAGGTAGTCATGTCCAATCTATATTTAGCTTATTTTGTTCCTTAAAGAGATTTATGCATGCTTTGTTGTAAACATGGGATTAAGTTAATTATCACCAGAATAAGTTTTCACCAACTAGTACTGTGCTTAAATATACCTAAAATAAACTACTTAGGGGTAGACTCCAGAGGTTTGAACCAACACTGGCTATTCAGTTGTGTGGAACTGAACTGTCTTCTTGGCTCCTACTTCATTTTATATTTAAATTTTTCATAAGTGTTGAAGCAATAAGACAAGAGAAAGAAATTAAAGAGAGACAGATAGAAAAGAAAGAAGTCAAAGTATCACCTTATGCAGGAGATACGAATCTATCTACAAGAAAAGCCAGAGAATCCATCAGCCAAATACTAAGGCTTGATAAACAGTTACAGCAAAGAGGCAGGTTATAAAATTAAAACATACAAATCAGTAGCCTTCCTAAATACTGAAGACAAACAGATGAGAAAGAAATCAGGAAACAATTCCATTCACAACACCCCCCCCCCCAATTAAATATCATGGAAAAACCTCTAACAAAGGGGATGAAAGACTTGTATAATAAAAACTTTAAAAGACTGAAAAAAGAAGCAGAGTAAGGCTCCAAGATCTACCTCCTCTTCCCTGCAATGATGGCTTGAATGAGGGCTTTCCCCCATAGGATTGGGTGTTTGAATACATAGTGCCCATCTGGTAGCACTGTTGGGGGAGGGTTTGGTAGGAAAACCTTGCTGGAGGATGTATGTCACTGGGAATGGGCTTTGAAATCATACGGTCTTTGCCCTTCTTTCATTCAGTTCCCTCTGTCTGCTTCATCCTTGCAGTTGAAGATGTAAACTTTATACAACTGCCACTGTTTGCTACCATACCTCCTTACCAGGATGGAATCTTACCCATCTAGTAGCATAAGATAAAATCTTTTGTTCACAAATTGCCTTTGGTCAGAATATTCTCTCATAGCAACTGAAAAGTAACTATTATACCTACCTACCCATCAATGACAGTTTGTGCTACTGTTTTACACTCTTGGCCTTCCACTGAAATATGGCTGACCTACCCAAATGATACACTTAAAGAAAGCTAATTCTCCATCTTCTAGCGGCTATCCATTGCCAATAGCTTCTTAGCTAAGGTTAGGATTTTGTGCCCACCTCCTCTCTTCATGTTTGGATTTGTCTGGTTTGAGGTTGGGCAGGTTTTGTTCATGTGGTCACAATCACTTTGAGATAGTATGTGCAGCTTCCCTGTTGTATATGGAAAATGCTGTTTCCTCACACTGGCTCTTACAATGTTTCTGGCCCCTCTTCTGCAATTATTCCTAAGTCTAGGGATGAAGGGGTTATGACATAGACATCTCATTTAAGGCTGAGCATTCCATAGTCTCTTATTCTCTGCACCTTGACCAGTTGTGGATCCCTGTTAATCAACATCTTCTATTAAAAAAGGTTCAATGATGAAGGTTGACTTATGCACTAATCTATTGAAGTAATAATTATACTATGGATATTTAGTAGAATGGTTGTAGTATATTCTCCCCTAAGGTCAATGAGATATCTAGCCATAGGTTCACGCCTTTCTCTTTTATTATTCCCACTTAACCATTTATTCAATAAATTGGATTTTTATGTTTTGGGTCATATTATCTTCAATATGAGATCGTTTTACTTATTCCTTTCCACTGTGTGTGCTTTTAATTCTTTCCCCTTTCCAATTTCTGTAAGATTTAATCTTAAGTTTTACAGTATAATAATGCATACAATCATTAGAAGTAGACATTTGAGTGTTATTTCTGATATGAGGAAACACTTTCTGGTTTTCCCTATGCAATGTTATTTTGGGTGTATATGTGTGTGTGTGTGTGTGTGTGTGTGTGTGTGTGTGTGTATGTATGTTATTCTATACCTAAGTTTTATGATGAACAAATACTGAATTTTATCTAAAACTTGAGACTACTAGAAAGGGAAACACATTGAAACACTGATATATGCACAGAGCTTTTTCTTCTTAAAAGAGACAAAAGGCAAAAGAAAAAAAGAAAAAAAAAAGCAAGCCAGAAACAACAAACAACCCAAAACCAATACCATACACATGGGATCATAGCAAAATAAGAAGTTTTGCAAAGCAAAAGAGACAACCAAAAAGAGTAATATTGGGAAGAATATTTGCCAGGATTTATTCATTTGTCCATGTTATATAATAATCAATAACAACAACAACAACAACAAAAAGAAACAAAACCCAAGTCTCAAGCAACAACAACAACAACATTAAAAAGAAACAATCTAACTTAAAAATGGGGAAATAGGTCGTGGGAGATTGCTTAGCAGTTTTAGTGCTCACTATGTAATTAGTAAGCACAAGGACAGGAATTTGGATTTCTAGAATCTAATGTAAAGACAGAATCCCTCGAGCAAGCTGACTAGCCATCTAAGCCATACTGATGAGTCCTGTTTTCAACTGATAACTAGCCTCAATGAACAGGTGGGAAACAATCAAGAGAGACACCTGATGTCAGCCCCAGGCCTCCATACACATGTGTACACACTGCACATTCACCACAGCCACACATGTGCATCTACACACACGCAAACATACACAGAAACATGTATACTTCACATCACAAAATTAAAACTGAGGAAATGATCCGAATAAAGTTTTCTCATAAGAAGAGAGTTAAATGGCAATAAGAACATTAAATACTGCTCAACACTCAGCCACGAGGGAAAGAGCTCTCAAAAAAGATACCATTTCACTAAAAGCAGAATGGCCATTATCAGAAGAAAACACAAAATGTGCAGGTGAAGATGTGAAGGAAAGGGAAAGTTTCCACATTATAGGTACGAATGAAAATTAGGACAGCCACTATGAAGAACAGTAAGCAAGTTCTTAGGAAAACTAAAAATGGAACAGCATACTATTTTTGGATATACAGACATAGAAATCAGGCACTGTACCCTAG